GCTGTGGGCTTTTACCCAGTTATGTGAGAATTAAAGCTCTTAAGCCAGTGGCTTAACTCTAGTGATCTAAAAAAGGATTTCAGTACATAGGTAGAGAAGGTGAAGCAAATTATGAAGTAGTTTCAGTCCCCGGCCAGGAAAGAACGGATAGGTAATCGCTTTGATAGTGACCCTAGACAAAAATTGCAAAGCAAACGAGCTAATTTTAGAGACTGATTGTCTTAGAAGCTTATCTCTGTAAGTGCAGTTACCGTACTTTATGACTTCTATGAAATGGTATAGTTGGCGAAGGTAGCCTAGATACGAAGTAAACAACATAATGTCCACGAGGAGGCTCCGAATACAGCAGAAATGGTTCATGGGTTGGGGCCCAGTGTTTCATAGCATTGATAAGGGGTTCCATTTCCTAGGGTGGACAGCAAGATTCAGTCAAGTTAACTTTGAAGACCAGGTATTTCCTCTTCATTTATGATTTCTCGAAGAGGTTGGGTTTCCGTTGCTCATTATTCAAGGCAGGACTGGTGAGGGGTTAGGTCATTATCGTTCAGCCGATTTAAATTACGGAAAATTCTCTTTTCTCGAATGTTTTGTCTGAGGAGAACTCATCATCGGATTTAGTTACTTGTTAGAAAATCAGTTCTCTCTGTTAGTGAAAGCGCATTGCCTGAGTAATTTCTTCTCGTCAGTTCAGAAAACCTCGAATCAAAAATGCAAGGATACATTATTTGTAGCGGAAAGGAATTCATAACTATGTCAATCTTGTCATATGAACTCTTTATTGTTTGTGTCCCCTCGGCAGTGAGAGTTCCTGCAGTGTAATAAGTCAATGTCGTGCAGTTTCTTCGCTCTTCTTCAACATAGGAGGTTGAGATCAGCTGTATAATCGCTACGTATTTCAGTCTATCCAAGTGGTATGCAAAGTGTAGTACAGCAACAGCAACAAGCACAAGGAGTTGTAGCACAACCTGGCCCTGGACGTCCACCCGGAGCCCCTCCACAGCAAGCCCAACGACCAACATATCCTTCTGGAGCCACCCCGCAACCACCACCGCAGTACGCCTATCCTACCGGTCAACCAGCTGGCTATCCACAAGCTCAGTCAGCTCAAGCAGCAGCGTATCAGCAGCAGATGTACCAGAGACAGCAACAGGTTCGAGTTTTCCAAGTTTTATAATGTTCTTTGTACTGAAATCAATATTAGAGAAGGGTATCGAAAATTGGTGTGTGGGACTCTTTCTCTGAAGTCAAGGGTCCAAGATGGTCATACTCTGAGTTGTGGCTGTCGTGCTGATCAAAGCGAACTCTCATTTTGTCATTTTTTATCCTGCAGTTTGTTGCACGACACGGACAGCTGTTAGCCATGCTCCCTTAGTTTCAGTTTTGCTAGTTGTCACCTCAATGTTTCGAATTTTCGAAGACGTTTTAAAATTATGTTGAATTTGGAACATGTTCCACCATTTTAAGGGGGGGGGGGGGGGGCAGTTGGGACGCATCATGTCAGCAGTTGGATTTGCTGAAAGAGTTGAGTTGGACTATTCTGCAGTCTTCATGGTAAAGCACCGTTATGAAACTGGAAAAAAATCAATATTTTATATTAAAAAAATATCTTCATCACCGATCATTTTCTGGCGTCGTCGGAGTGGGTGTGTCACAAATCGGTAGTATAGTCGGTATAGAAAATCTTACATTCATGCGGATTAAGTAGTAGTCTCGGCAGTAATGAAGTGGTGGGGTGTAAAATCTACATAATCAAATTGAGTAATATTCTTTTACCGATTTCATCTCCTAAACTAGTTTTGACGGAGACGGGTAATCAGACTGATCATTTGAGGAGTATACCGAATTGGTATCATTACCATTCCTTTACATCCTGCATAGTTTTTCCTGCATATCCCTTCTAAAGAGGAACCACAAACCCGTGTTATTGAGTGGCTTTCAAGTGTTTGCTGGGAAGCGTTTCTACGCTCTGTAGGTGTGATAAGTACGAGACCAAACAGTTGGATAGAGGTGTATGTACGTGCGGCCCCTTTTCCTTTCAGCAGTCCATCTCGATCAGCGTTCTTCTACCTGCATACCTTTGGGTGGATTCTTCGAGTAGTTTTTTCCATTTGTGGGAATGTTCACTACGCTGCATTGAACAAACATAAGAAGTCATTCTACAAAAGCAAGTCCACAATACAGCCAATCGATGTACAGGTCAGCGCTTTTATCATCTCAGACGAGTCTGGCACCAGTTAACCACTTGGGAGGAGGAATGGAAGGCTTCTTGGGCCAGGCAGAAACCGAACCGGGACTTGAGCCCGTGACCATGCGTGCGTTACATCGCCTCCGCCCCAACCTACAAGTACAAATTAAAGTTCGTAATGAAAAAGTAAAGACTCGAGAAAAAATGACCTGCTTCAAATACTTGCTTGATAAGCCTCAGTTTAGTCAATATTCGCCCACTTACTCGGTGTTGAAAATTAAAACTGTCACAGTGAACTTGGCATAAGCAGATAAATACTCGTCACTCCTTCAGATGTTTTCTTTCACTTACAAATGTCAGAATTCAAGTTTCCCGTCCCCATCCCCCNCCCCCTCCCCTATTTCACCCCGTCGGTGGTCCTTAAGTTGTTGGAATTAAAAATGATGCTCCTCATCACAGTAACTTTCCATGGTGGTAATGAAAATTGTGCTGAACACGGTGAGAAAGGAGTCAATACTGGGTCGGTTTGCTCTATCTCTTCGAAAGGCCGTCTCCTTGTTAAATTACTGTGGACTGATGTATTCATTGTTAGTACTCGGTAAGGGAACCTGTTCGGATCGCATTAAGTATTTCTGGTTCATACTTATGATACCTGCAAAAAAGAGAAAATTGACAAACTGTAGGCGTTGTGGACGACACTTGCAGCGCAATTGGGTCTGTCTTTGAATGCTGAATTCCGACCCTTTTTCCTTTCCCATGGAAAGTTCAGTTTCCTCCCTCCCTCTCTTTTCTTTCTTTTACCTGAATATCAACCCGTTCCTCATCCTCTCGGTATTGCTTTCTTTACTCATTCGTCGAATTTCTGTGTACAAGGAAGAGCAGATCTCCGGGTAAGCAGATTCATTGTAATACTAATTTGTTGGTCCTCAACTTGACACCTGGCTAGTCCTAACGACCCATTATTACTAGTAAGTTAGATTTTCTTGGGAACAGTTGGTCGGTTTCGTTGCATTGAAGAGAGTATCGTCAACGTTATTGTTATCGGCCACCCAACCAGCGAGCCGCCATCGCTACAGCAATGTTTGTACAGCACCATCGGCTCGAGTTCTGTGTAGACATTTCAGTTACGTTCTGATTTTCATGCTGTAGAAAAGCTGGAAATGTTGTAGAATTGCTCATACCTCTGTTCCTTTCCTCCCTCCTATATACTTCTTGTGTCGAGTTTTACGGTAGATCGAAATCCAGACGGTATTCTTCATGAATTTGAAAAGCGAACATGATTTATTCATTTGTGTAAACGACAACTGTTTACAGTTGTTTATTTCGTTCGATATACATATATTATCTGAACGGGGCTTGAATATTGCAATATCATAGGAAGGTGTTGGAAAACTTCTTTGCATTAGAAAAAAACAAGACCTGATAAGATCGAAGCCCATTCCTACTTTCGATTTCGGTTTACAAGTTTGCAAGTTTACAATCAATAACTTTCCGAAAAGTTTGTCAATCAGTACTGCGGTAAAGTATTCTCGAAGGCAAATTTATTGCTGATTTGTTACAGTATGTCAGGGCGATGTGCTTGTCATTTGGCACGTGTTGCGACTCTTCTACAGGTACTACCAGGAAGACCGTTCATAGTAATTCGGTGTGGCTGAGAAATCTGTGAAACTCAGTGAGCTTGGGTGATTTGATGCAAGATAAACCTCTACTTCTAAGAGGGAGTCAAATGGCTGTTGTGGATCGCTCTACCAGTATGAATTGGAGATTGAAATATGGTTTTTGTAATGTATAATTAGGAAAAGTTGACGGCACCCTTCTCTTGAATTATGAGCTGTGTCCACTTTGAGCAGGAGAGGAGTAACCGGTCATTTCAGAGCTACTACCATTTAAAGCTTGGAAATTAGCGTGGAAAGCGAAACGGCGCTTGAAGTTAAAACGATCACCCCTGTAATCGTACACCACTAAGAGGTTACTTTTGCAGTACGAGATAACTGAGAGGCTAGGGAACGATGAAATTTGCTGAAGGAAGTACAATAATTTCGTGAGTTGCATAGAGTTGCTAATGCATGGTTTCCTCGTGGGAAAATTTACTGCTCTGAGAAACATTTCGCTGTTTTGCCGGCTCCGATGACGATTCCCCGGAGAGCAATGCAGTCCAGAAGCAGTTCACAGTCTACTGCGAGTTATAGCGAGTATCCCTACTTGAAAGCCTTATTCTTGCATATTTTCATGATCCTAGTTGTGGGCTGGATAGGGACTCAGCGTGTTTTGGATAGTAATTCTGAACTTTTTGTATATATCTCTAATGTGCACCCTTTTAAAACTCGATCGCGCTATCTGTTTGTTTATCTATCTATTTATCTATTGTCAACCGTTCTTTCGGACTGTTTTGTTTGCTTTCGAAAGGTCAAATGAGTTTTACCAGTTGTTGTAATGCGGAAATGTGGAAAGCCAATTTTTCCTGTCGATTTGTATCGAATTTTGAAAATATGCAAACATTGGAATTCTTTCATGGAGCATCGGAAAAAAACCAATGTTCAACCAAGCCTTTCTCGGAACTTCTATGGGATAATGTTCAACCAAGCCTTTCTCGGAACTTCTATGGGATATACTAACATACCTACAAACAGACTTTTCCAGGTTCCACAGCACCAACAAATGCGTCCATATATGTCACCACAAGGCACAATGGTTACCCCGACTCATCAAGGAGGTAAGTCCAAAGTGGTGGTTTGACGAAGGGATCCTAGGCTTGAGGACTAAACTGTTAAGGGTTTTATTCATGAAAAAGAATTATGTGTAGGAGTTTGATGGTTTTTAAAACTTTTTTTTCGAGAGTATTGCAAAAGAGAAGTGGAACAGAGAGAGAGCACGGAACACGCACTTTCCGAACAGGAGTTCTGAGAAATACTTATAACTTAGAATACAAGTTCACGTTTGCTCTTCCTGCGAGTTTCCTTTCTTCTGGAAGGCAGATCTCTGTTAGCTGACTCCCGATATGCAGACAGCAGGAAATTCTAATCTACTGGGTAGCACCGATTAATAGCCACGTGTATGTGTAATTTCTATCGCTATAGGTTACGGTTACCAAGGTACTTGACGTACATACTTGTACCCACAATGGGCTATCTAATCGCCTAAATCTATTGTGAGCAACGCAACTATATAGTTCTCTATTACGGAGAACACTGAAATTATTCGAACAATTCGAAAAATCCTGTCGAAAGGGTCTCCAGTTCTTACTTCACTCGAAGGAGCTATGTGGATGAATTGAGGTATGTGGGAGCTTGATATTTTTTATTTGGAAGTTGTTTCTTTGTGTTTATTCCGAGTAAACATTTGATCGTTCTTCTATCCTTCCCTATTTTACTTGTTTTTTGAGGCGGCGATTGTCTTTTGGACTCACCACTCTAATTCGGTAACAAAAAAAGAGAATGATGAAAAAAAGAGTTCAAAATATTCCGATGTTAATACCAGGCGGAATCCAGGTTTAGCAGGATTCCTTGAAAGATATAGTATGATAGTGTTCATCAAGGACAAGGATGGGGTTGCCATAGCACCCTCAGATACTACGCCACTCTTAGTTGACATTTCCATCTTCACTTAGGATTTTGCGGTTGATGAACTTTCTTATGTGATGCTACTATTGATGGAAGATTGATTGTCCTTGAATAGCCGTAGTAAACAGCAAAGGAGCTGTTAGATATGCACCAGCATCAACTTCAAGGGAGATTCGTGGGAAACTGGAAAGGAATCTCGGAAATGAACCAATGCAATAAGAAGCCGTCATGGAATGTTTCAACGAATGATCTGACACTTGACGGGCTTCGATTTTCTCTGATAAGAAGCGGTATGAAGAATTGAAAGAAAAAAACTATGCAGAACCGAGCCCGTCAGTCTGTATAATACTGCTGTAATCTTTATAGACGTTATCGAAAGGTTTACAGAAGATGATGTCTGGCGAGGTGGCACGACTTTTTTTTTCTTCCTCGTCGTATATTGAATGGAACCTTGTGATTCCATTTTGAAAGTCTTTTCAAGGCCACATTTTCTTTCAAATTTTTCAAAAAGTTTTGGAATAGTGGGCAAGCAGTAAGCATTCGCTCATAAATAATGCTTTGTTCTCAATGGCTGACACCTTGGGCTGTGATGGATGGACGTTATGAGTTGTTTTTTGAATGAAAGTCGACTAGATCGACTGGATCCTTTGTATTTCGATTGGATCTTTTTATTAAATGACATTGAAGGAGGGCAGTACATTTTAGTTTAGCCATATTCTGAGTTCATGCAGACGGATAATCCGACGCCCACATTCCAAGTAAAAAAGCATAGGCTGATTATGCGGATGGGATGGAATCAGTTTTTCGTTTTCTCAGTGTTCCTTGAAGACCTGAGAATTAATTAACGACTTGACATCCCTGACTGGTTTTTCCCATCCCACAAAGCTCCTCAGCCAGAACTCACACAGACAGACGTTACTTTATTAATACTGTCTTTTGCACACACAGAGAGCATAAGTAGTTACCTAATGGACCTGCCAAGCAGTAGTTTGCTATAGCTGATGGCATCCATCATGGTGATTGGCGTGTTAAGGCGATTTCGCTGTAGGAAAGCTCTGGAAGTTTTCAGCTCTTGGCTGGGCACACTTGTAAGCGCCTGGAGTCTGAAATTCTTCTATTTAATCGGGATTGTTTTCCAAAGTTATAGGGAAGTAGTTCTAATTTGTTTTATTTTTATGTTTTTTCTTGCTATTCCACAGATGCCAATAAGGTCTTATGACATTTTCTCATTAGGGTAAGTACATGGGTAAATGACATTGATATCTAAATGGTATTATGCATGAGAAAGGTATTTTCTCCGATTCTCGCATTACTTCCCTGATTTCTCACCAAGGACTACAAGCTTGCTTCAATTTATGGATAAGCTCGCATTCCCAACAGTTGCATTCCTTCGAGCTCATTCCGATCATCTGAATTTTCGAAAACGAGCCCATTCTGATTTTCCGAACTTTGAAGGGTTGGTTGGGTATAGAAATACCTTTTCTTATCGGTTTCGAGTGGCTGTCAGTCGTTCAGACGACAATTCACCTTGAAATGGTATATTGTGAAACTCACGGGAGCAATTTGCTAAACTGCTACTAATCAAGTATTCTTACAAGGTGAACTGGTTTATACGTCAAAGTTTCACTGTATATGAATAACCATTCTTTACTGGAAACTTAGTTGTTACTGTAGTGTCTTCTCAATTTCCTTTTCATATTCTGATTTTTCGTTCTCTTGTAACCATCTCCACAGGGGATGTGAAACTTCTATTGCGAAGAACCCTCAGAAGGAAGTGCCCTACTACTATTTACTACCGATTACTTAAGAGTAGTAGTGTTTTCTGGTTGAAGTTTGTAGGGTGCAATTTTCAAAGTAATAGAAGTGCAGGTGGCCGATGAATTTGGGCGGAGTTAGGTGAATGTTTTTTCGTATTTTCGTTTTGAAGAGACGGCTCATTGTTCAATTCAAGGACTATCTCATGATAACATTTCTTCATTCCTTACCATTCTATTTCTCAGTAGTTCCTTTTCTCGATTGTCTGTCCCTCCTGCTCCTATACTTCAACGTAAAGGCCTCTCGCAGTGGGTGGAGACGTGTACTTGCCTCATTTTGGTAATATGTGCTTGCCTTTGTAGTGTGTGGAGCGGTATGCAACATGTGGGATGATCGATTTACTTTATAGAGCTATTGCTCTACCAAATTAAAACTTTGGGCAATTTTCTTTGGAAAACGTCTTGTTTACTCTTAACCTACTCACACATCTTCCCTGGTCCTGTACAGATAAGCCAGCAGAATAGAACTGTAGACAGTGGGACAAAAATAAATATGGTAATGACCACAGCAAAGGTAAACCTAAGGGGCAAAAGTGATTTGCTTAGCATTTTGATCCTACGATTTGTTGTCTCTGCGAACGACCAACGATACTCCTTTTCCTCCTCAGATGTTCTGGTTTGTAATGCTCTGATAGCCACCACTTCGAATGGATTTCTTTTGAGTTGTAAAAGTTTTCATCACGTTGTCATCAGTTTTCTCATGTTGTCATCATCGAGAACGAGGAATTTCTCGCATATCGCTTGAATCTGCGAAAGTTTTTTAGGCTCATAAAGAGATGAACTTCATGCAGTCGCTGGCGGTCCGACGACTCTTTCAAACCAGTTTTCTTTATATGCAAAAGTGCAATATCGTGATGTATTGTGCTGTCTCTGAGTCTGCCCACTCCATCGTTGCGTTCGCGTTCATTTTATGAAGAAGATCGTCGTCCATCGTCCAACCTTGTCCTCCATTATGGGTACATGGTTCTTCGTGTTGTTTCTGTCTAAATGTGTTACGGTTAGATGAGAAGGGGGTGGCTCGTTTCTCCTCTCAATTACCAGTACAGTGCCAACCGGTAGTTTCAATTTAGTCTCTGTAGGGGATCATAAACGCTTCTATCCCCCGAGTGTGTTTGCATTTCCATTCAATGGGTTCATTATTCGTCAGTTCGGACGTCCTTTTCCCTCTTGTCGGATTTGTCGTTTTGTGCTGTTCATTACTCATTCTAAGTACTAGTCGTACTTTAATTAAGTGATTTGTACCGGCTAACGAAGTCCTTTCCAGCCGAATCACCGAGTTTTCCTTTTTCCGTCAGCCTTGCGATTCGACTAGATGTAGTAATATGCCAGTAGAAGCTATCAAACATTGGAATTTTCGAGCAAAAATTTATTGCTCCCAGAAAACGGTCCTACTCGATCTCTTGGACTTCCAAACTGCTGCTATTTCTAATTTTAGGATTTTTCATCGGCCCCCGTTTTCGCTGTCCACAACTAAGACGAATATCCTTAAGTATTCTTCTTGGAAAAATTTCTCTGATTCCGAACCTTGGTTTTTTTTAAATGTCTGCAAACTTTTACGTACGTTCCCAGGTGCAGTATCGTGTCGGAAAAACTCAATCACAGGCTAATCCATTCTTCGATACTTACTGCTTATTCCAAGTAACTAGAAATATCTTTGTCCTCCGTGACAACTCAAATTGTACTTGTATCCGATTACTTGTGAGTTGTTTCGTAGGCATTAGAAAGAAAAGGCTCAAGGGATACAATATTGATGCGAGGAATAATTTTGTTTCAATTTAAGATGGTGTTCAGTGCGGTTAGAGGTTCCTTGGTATCGGCAAAGTTTCTTGAAATTTCGGGCAAGTTAAATACTTCTGGTGAAATGTTAGTGCTTACGAGTAACAATGCAGTTACTTAGTGAAGAGGATCCCCTGAAAAAAAACCTATTGCTGCTTCCCAGCAGTCATGGACCTTTCTCGGGAGCTCTCAATATTGAGTTCTAGTATTGTGCTCATTATCGCGAAAGTCAGCAGCTCTTTACCAGTCCTTTCAGGCAATGCTCATCAAAAGGCGTCCTAATTAACTCCAAATAAGGGGGTTCATATTAAATATTGCTATAAGCCTGTATCGGACCTATTTATTTCCAATATGTCTCTTATTTAATAAGTTTGATGCAACTTACATGAGTTTTTCCTTACTGTCTAACCTGTTACAATTTTGTTTCATTACGGATTTATTTTGTTTTGCCTTGAAAAGTAGTGATGATTATATCGTTAAATAATATTACTAATATTGCCTATCGAGTAAAGTCGAAAATACTCCATTTTCGAACCATTGAACGATCTCTCACAAGAGGCTTGATGCTTCTATTCGACTTATCGTC